AAGTGAATTCCTAGCTACACTTGCGTTAGCCAGTCCTTTCCCTATAACCACGTAACACAAAAGTTACGATTTTGTCATTTGTCCTTTTGTGTTATTTGCACATCATTTGGATGATGTGTCCCCAATCTCTTCACTTCCAATTTTTCCTCCAAAGACATTAAAGAAAATTGATCCACCTTGTTCATGTTCATGCTAACGCCCGCCATTGCCACAGTTGCTCACTTCCCGCTCTCCACGTTCTACTACGAACTAGCCTCACTGTACAGTAGCTACTGCGCTGTGATTGGTCGAAGGTCACTGTACTGTAGCTACTGCGCTGTGATTGGTCGAAGGTCACTGTACTGTAGCTACTGCGCTGTGATTGGTCGAACCCATTACATGGGTTGTAATATTATTTTTTTATTTTTTTAGTCTAATCTCTTAGCCCTGGACCTTACAAAGACACCTTTAATTGGCCTAATTTTTTTTTTTTTTTTTATCAAGTTCTTCACTGAGACCTCCTGAGTCTGTTCTTCTTTGAAAGAACTCTTAAAGAACTAGGTTTTAGTGCCATCTCGTGATGTAGTTGCAGATCACGTTTTGCTTGCTTCACCCTTCCAGTGCGAAGGAGAAACTATGGTGGCAGAGAAATGTGCAAAAAAATGCAAATTACCCTATCAGGTGCCAGTGTTTGGTTTGTCTCTTTTGGGCTACAGTGGACTGCTACTCTTCAATATGGTGGACTCCATGGAAGGTGACTAACTGTGGTTATACTAGTAGTGATTATACAATGATGAAAACATACCTATGAATATTATATTCAATTTCTGCCAATAGATCATCCTAAATGTTGACCTTCAATTTTTGTCCGATTGCTACTTTAAATTTTCTTTTTTTATGTATAATTCAAGTATTTATTTCTTTTGCTACTTTAAATTTTCCAAATTTAGATCTATAATGTGGTATTTCAAATTGCCATTCACCATGGTCCTATCACCTCTCTTAATGTCTTTTCTTTGGATATATCTGGAAAGAGTTGTCTGACAACTAATAAAAAAAAATTAAAATGAGTAAATCTCTAACAGTAGATTGTATCTTTTTAGTATGTGACGGTGGCAGACCGGCCATTGTCCATTTTTTTCAGTGTGTGATTGTAGCTGGTGATGCTTGAGCCCATGAAGTCATACAATAAGAGAAAATGGGAGAAAATCATAGAGTGCATTGGAAACTGGGCTGCCTGTATGTAGTTCTTAAACTTTTCAGCCAAACCCTGTTTTCTAATGTTCTTAACTGTTAAACCAATTATTAAATTAAAACAGTGTTTTTAATGCAGGAGTCTGGACATGAACCCTGCACAGTGGTGTGACAGTCCTGCACTTTGTACGCCCACCCCAACTAACTCCTTGCAACACCACTGCATTACATAAATATAGTGTTTTAAAATACATTGTCTTTGAGCATAATCCATTTTGCGAATTACGTTGTGATGAAAACAATTTAGTAATATACAAACGTAATTTCTATGAGACAGGGTAGCTCAGTGTGCTTCACACAAAGTGCTTGTCAGGTTGTCAGACAGCAAGATGGCAGATGCTGCCACTGACAATTTTCAACAAAACAGGCAACGACACCCACTGCATGCAGACATTGATTAGCGGAGGTGGCACACACACAATTAAGTAGTAACATTTTTGTCCCTGCTTTCAAAAGAAGTACTGGTAAGTGTGTGTGTGTGTGTGTGTGTGTGCATTAACCCCACACCCTGTATGACACGTATGAAGTAACAGTGAGGGGAGTTCACAGGGTTCTGATTTGAGTCTGTGGACAGATGTTTGCAGAACGTCTTTCTCCTCAGTCTTTATCTAACCTCCCGCTCACATTTTTTTAACATATTCAGAGTTTGTCCACAATCACATATATTTTCTAAATTCAGGTTTTCAGGAGTTTTTCCACCAGTTTTCAATATGTCATATACAACCACAGTGTTTGAAATTATGTGTACAAGTAGACATTTTTTAGCTTGATGGTGATGCTGTTGAGGCTACTCTCAGTGGATCATAAATATCCATACTTGGCAATGGCATGGCAATCTGGACAGTACCATCCTCCACTGATGCCAAAAATGTCAAGAAATATTAATAGAACATTATCCTCTCTGTCATAGATTACATTTCTTACAGAGTCAATCTGAACTGTTTCTCCCTCTTTAACCTCCAGCTGAGACCTTCGAGCCCTGTAGTCACCCAGGAACCCCCACCTACGGGATCCCCAGCTCCAACAAGCTCCACTTCCAGGCCGGAGAGACCCTCCACTACTCCTGCCTGGTGGGCCACCAGCTGCTGGGCGAGCCCGTTCTCCACTGTGTCCCTGGACACCCTTCCCAGTGGAGTGGGCTGCCACCTGTCTGCAAAGGTGAGGAACTGCAGCCTGATGGTCAATCAGTTATTCACAGCAGAGTGCTTGAAAGTCTGCTTCTTGAAAATGAAATCTGATTTAAGACGATAGGACAATAGAAAATTACAAAACTAAATGAAATCATCTCATCCTTCATCCAACATATTTAACATACAAGGACTACCCACTGACTAAGAAACAACCATCATAGCAAAATCTACTTCTCAAAACATTATTAATGTGATCGGAAAAAACATTAGTATTGATTGACAAAGTCATGAAAAATGGAAATGATAGAATAAAGCTGTGGAATATGACAGAAAGAATGTTTCAGGGGTCTGCATGTACCCCAGTAGGTAGGATTAATGTTAAATAACAAAATAATAAATACAAAAACGTAAATGTGCCAATAAATTGTTGAATAATTTAATACTTTTTTATAGCTTAACTCACATTTATGAGTCATATAATTGGCTGAAGAGTGTTTCATGAAAGTCCTGTCTGTCAGTTTCATGAAATAAAAGTGTTGCAATCAAATTTTATAAGCAACTGAATTGAAATACTTAACGTTGTTACTGTTGAATTGTTCGCAACCGGTAGTGGTTGAATTAAGATATTTACTTGCTTATGAGATTCAAACCATTTTGGCCTTTACTTTTTTCCATAGTGTCGATTGAAACTAAAATGCAACAACAGCAAACAAAAATGTTTTATAATTAAAATAAACGAAAATGTAACATTTGTAACATGTTACATTTTATTGGTTGATTTGAATCATCTGTATTCATTGATATGGTTTAATGCATTCCTTTCGTTATGTCGAGAATAGTATATTTTTATATTGTGATGGCACTATTTTATATTCACAAAATTAAAACCTATAAATCCCTGCCTAATTTGCTGCCTTTTGTTTTAGAAATCCAAGATCTTTTCTGAGTCTTTTAAACTTTATTTCTTTTAGGTTGTTTGTATGTTATTTTGTTGTAATTTCTGGTTTTGTGTATGAGTTGTGTGAGAGTTATTTTTATTTGGTTAATACGTCAACGTGTGCTGGAAAGAAACATTTTGCAGGAAGTAGACATGATCCGTCTCAAAGATGCCATCATACAAAAGACATGACAATCAGGTGTTTTGACACAGCTCTGTATATTCTCTATTATTTAGTCTCCACCAGGAGACTGTGACAGTTTGAAAGACAATTGAACAAAACAAGAAACAAGCTGCACAAAGAAGAGCGAGCGTGTTTCAAAAAGGCAGCAAAAACCCATCAGTCACACTGATAGCTGGGGAGGAAAAGTGTTTTTTGTTTGTTTTAAATGACTCTGGATTTTGTTGTCCTGACACTTTGAAGAAGGTTGTTCCAGTCTGGAGGCTGAAATAACAGCAGAGTGGCCTTTAGTTTGAGCCTGCACCCTGATCAAAGCACCTCAGGGAGACAGAGTGCTGTAAGGACACATTACACAAATAGCCAGACTGGAGGAGCTACCTGTCAGGGCGGAGATGTGTGTTTGTAATGTGCTTTTGGATTCCTCTGAGAGCCCAGCTGCTCTGCATCCCAAAGTAATGAACTGACACTTATATTCCTGCCTCATTCCTGAGCGTGTGGTGGAACATATTGAGCACAAAACAAGATTTTTTTGCAAGCACATCAATTATATTTTGTAGACAAATTAAAGTCATGCAAAGAAAATACAAAAATGTACGTGTTTGCTAATATCAGATTATCAGAATCAGAAATCCAAAAAATTCCCCGGGGGGAAATGTACATAAGCATACTATGGTAGCGTCTTTTACTCAGTTTTGCTCATTTGTCCTCTTCTCAATGTCCTTGGCGAACCCGTGGACACTCGCCCACAGGGTCTACCTATGCTCTCTCAGCACCTCTGCCCTGTGTGCTCTCACAGAGAGCTGCAGTGTGGCACAAACACTGCAATAGCTCATACCAATCAGCTGGATATCATTGGTTACTAGGGCAGTAGGGAAGCACTGGGAGAGGTAAGGTAAACCACACCCACATTATTTGTGCAGCATACTATTGGTCACATAGGCCTACCTAGTACTCAACCTACCTACCTGTGATTGGAAACATCAAAGCTCAATTCTGAGGGTTTTCTGTAAACAGTTTTCGAATAAATATAGCATCTTTTGATTAACCCATATCAATTTCTAACTTAAAAACGTCTGGTTAGCCCCACCTGGTTAAGTAATCTGAGTACAGATACAAATAAAGATAATTCAGTTCGTGGAGCAGATACATACACAGATACAGATATTTGTGGACTCGTTAAATTGTATGCTGAACTATGTGTTGCGATTTATTTTGGCACTTTTATTAAAATGGCTTCTTTGATAGTAAGGGTTGCTAACCCCTGTGCCAGATAAACAAATTTGTTCTGTAATTTTACATGAATTTGTTTGTTCATTGACAGATGTCTTGAACACCTAGAAATGGATTCAAGTGGTCAGATATCCTGTAAATAATATTTGTTGTCCTTGAAATTGATTGATTATTTATTTTAGCTTGTGCTGTGGCCACATAAATGTTACAGTTCAGAGACAAACTGTACTCAATACAGAAAGCAGAAATCGGCTGTATGGCCAAGTATGCCACGGAAAGCGATAGGGCTAAGGAATTATGGCTGACTACCATTTGTGAGCAAGTGCTTTTCTTTGTTGTCAAGAACAAATCCTGGAAAATGTCCTGGAAAGGTCCTGGAAAACAATTTCTTAAAAAGAGAGAGGACTCTGATCTTTATTAAAAAAAATATTTTCCTGTGCTCAAAATGTCCCATTGTGCACTCAGGAATGAGATTATATTCCTGTTGTGGTTAATCGTGTCATTAAAAACAATAAGGACATGAAGACTTTCAATCAATTTGAATTTTAATCAGCGCAAACAGGTCAGACAGAATTAGTCTGTAAATATTTTGAACAAAGCATTGTTTACTTACTTTCTATTTATGTTTGTTTAATTCATTAAGCCCTTTTCCAGATGTTTAACATTACCACTGTGTTCTCCTCAGCCCACCCAGTGGAGTATGATGAGCACAGATTAAATGGTAAGTTCATTTTACCTGCACACCTTCAGCCTGCATGAGCATAGAAGATTCTGCTGAATATTTGTGCTAGCAGTACTTCCTGTGAAAGAAAACTTCCAGAAAGTTTCCCCAGTGTCAGGTTTTCAGTATCAGTCCCTCCAGGATTAGGTTGAGGGTTTTGGGGGGATTGTTGCAGTTTAAGATGTCTGATTTCATGGCAGCAATGCATATTGTGATGTTTGTTGGCATTTTGCAAAGAAATTGTAAAAGACAGTAAAAATGGCACAAATAGTTGCATTGCAACTTCCTGGACGGACTGAGCAATTACAAAAAAACAACCTTCATTTATTGTTCCCATTTAAAGTCAGCTAATTGGTTTGTTTTTAGTTATATTCTGCTCAGGGTAAACATGATGCACCCATACATATATATAATAATATATAATATACAGATCCTTTGTTCAAAACAAAAGGAATGATATAACTAACAATAAACAATGTCTTTCTCTAACAGTAGCTGCTGCAGACCTCAGAATGGAGGGGGCCCAAGTAGCGTTCGCTGTCTTCATCCCTGTCATCCTCCTCCTCATCCTTATCGTTGGGATCTACCTCTACTTCTCAAAGTAGGTTAGACTGACCAGCTATGTCAGTCAGTCAGTGCCCTATAGACTATGACGCTGTAGGTACTCCAGTGTAATGGCATGTCTTGCCAAACTTGCTGATGGTAGCAGTTTTTAGGTTTAGACCAGAGGTCTGCAACCTGTGGCTCTTTAGCCCTTCTCCAGTGGCTCACTGTGGCTTTCACAAAAAGTATATGGAAATGAATAGCTGTTATTTTTTTACCTTTCAATTTTCATTTTATCATTGTTAAATGAAAGCCAAAGGAATTCTTACATTTTCCAATTGTAAAAATGTGTAGCCTATACACAAATATATAAATTATATAATTAATAATAATATAATTTATAAAATAAATATAGTTTTTCCATTTTGTGTGTGTCGAAACTGAACTGGCTCCAAGTTGAAAGTCTGATAGTAAAGGTTGCCAACCCCTGGTTTAGATACAAAAATTACTTGGGTTTAGGAAAAGATGTGATTTGTTGGTGTAGAAACATTGCTAGAGGGGTACCTACTCGACTTGGGCAGTGAAAAGAAGAGGCTCTTTTATCACTGATATAACACAGTCAGTGATGAATGTATCACTTGTAGATTGATTGATTGGAAATGGAGACCAATCAATACACTGCTAATCAAAAGTAACCAAGTATGTCTTTTTAAGCACACAAGTATGCAAATTGCAGTAAGGTATGCAAAATGAATTTAACTATAAGTAAGTTCACTTCAAATACTAATGAGGTCAGACCCTTCAGTACGCCATCCACCTCCACAACACCTCCATCACCGCTGGCCCAAAACTCTCCTTATTAGCACTGCCCGTGTTGTACAAGCTGGACTGCCAGCACTGAATCATGATCAAGTTTCATAAATTCTGTGTCCAGACTACTGCATATCAGATATGTGTCAGATTTAGGACTGATTCTGGAACACTTTTTTTCACTTCACATTGTAATTAAAAACAGATTTCTGTGAAATGTAAGAGAAAGAGAAGACCTTGGATTTGAGCCACATTAGCCCACGGTCTGACCTTAGACTTAAGACAAAAACTCATTAAAGCAGGTGCAGAAATATGTTTAAGGATGAGAAACATAGTTTTATCAATATAATGCCATAGCCCCTTCAGAGAAAAATAGTTTTGAAAGTATTGAATAAATAGACACCACGGTGTTCTGAATGTATCTTGAGACTCCTGCATGGTGCATTTAGTAACATTATTTTCTGATCTCTTGGACAAAAGAGGGGGTTCAAACAGGTTCTGTCTGAAGGAGATGAACTGAAATAGAGGCAAATGTAACTATATTTAGCCAAAAGGACTAACTGCCTTTTAAAAATAGCTGTCACAGGATTAGGATCAAGGATTTCAGCACACAATGATGAAAAATAAAAGTGTGAGCCAACCGGAACATGTTGTATGACTCAGACATCAAAAAGAGCTGCCATTATTCCAGGCTGTTGTCTTCCTGTGATACACAGCATTGTAAAACATACATTTTCTCTTCTTTTTCATGAATGTGTTCTCTGTCTCTGCTCAGGGTTCAGAGGAAGCCACTACGGCTCTCCCTGTCCTCCAACTTACCATATGAAAACATCACTGGAGAGTCTACGATTGACAGCTCTGTTTCTGAGACAGCGGTGAGTCAGCATACATCAGACTTTGAAACGGCTGGCAAACATTTGCATGTGTGTGTATTCAACTGGGCCTGGTGTCTTCTGTCTGCTGCATCACTCTGAGGCACCATGCTCTTTGTCCATTTACAGGTTTCTCCTGTTGGCTGTAGAGATTTACTGATATGAGTCACAAATCAGTTTTAACATTATAAATGTGACTACATCTGTACACAGACCCCTGAAAGGAAGTACCATGAACTAGTTGATGGTCTGATTTTAAACTTATGAATAGGTTGACTGAAGCTTTGCTACTAACAGCGTCTACTCTCATGAAAGGTAAAAGGTTAACGTCAGGGTCTCACAATAAGAGCAACAAGAGTAATGTGGCCCGCCAACAATGCAGACAGGATTTACAGTGCACAATCAAATCTAAAATGAAGTTTGGAAGACATTTGGATTCTATAAGAAGAAAGGAAAGTTGGACACTTTTTGTCTGTGTCTTCCATTTTTTTTCCAGCGCCATAAGAAAAAAATACTTGTGATTCCCTGGTATTTTATAAAATATATGTATTTGAAGGTGAGCAATGTCACTTTTATAGAATTGGCTTATTTTATTAAGAATGGAAAATAAATGTCCACATTAAGCCAATGTTAAGAACTGTATCAGATTGCATTAAATCTACTGAATTGATCCATATTAAAATGCATCGTGACGTATCCCACGTATCTAGATACACCCCTACTGCTCTCCCAACGGCCAACATCAACGATCGGTTGGTCAATATTTCTTTGTGTTCAATTATTATTTTTCTTCTTCTTCCATGCTGGCGAACTTGAAGAACAATGAGGTGAGTTAGTCATATCCTGAATACTGAGACATGTCAGTGTCATGGGTTAAGGATAAAGCTAATGCTGCTTCACATGGACTTAGACAGACATACGCGGCAAACTGGATATCATTTTGGTGTTAAGAGCAGGACGGTAAATTAGGTGAGGCTGTTTCTGAGGTTTCAATGGCTAAGTTCAAATATTTTAACTTTTTGCATTCCTCTATCTGGACAATGAGATGCTAATAATGAATAAATTACACAAAATAATATACACAAAATAATTGTATTTGGTATATTTTATTCTATTCTTTGTAAACAATACACTGTTTTGGTTTGCTGTTCTGCCATTCCGTCGAACCGTTTGTTTTTCCTGTGCTGTCCAGAGGGTGTTAGACATCTGCCGTCTGCCTGAATCAATGTGAATGCAGCATATGTCTGGCAATATTCTCATTTTATGGTCTAACAAGTACTGTGTGCCTATCAAAGCCCGATACATCTCCTTCCTCTGTGCTGTAGAGCTCCATTGTTGTCCAAAAACGATTGAAAACATCCAGTTCCTTCATCACCACGAACACACACACTGTAGTCTATTTTGACTTAATCCCACACACACCGTCCTGCTACCAGAAATACTCACAAGAGCAGCAAATGTGGATTAATCCACCACTGAAAATAGTCCACTACAAACTCTTATTTAAATAATTTTAACTAATAACTACAGTAACCAGCTGTTCAGGAAATGACTGAACATTTTAAAAATTATATGTTTCTGAGTTGTTTTTTAAGATTTAGGTCTCTAGGAGGAACTAATGAGCTTGGGGCTGAAAATAGGGAAGTCAGAAAGTAAGTGGAGGTGGAGTAACACATTGTTGGTTTTAGTTTGTTTATGGGAATTGACAGTAGAAAAAATTCCGAATAACATTATCCTTATCCTTTCATTTGAATTTTAGAAAATTCAAGGCAGCCGCTTTGAGACGTGTTATTGTGTGTTTTCTAGAAAAAAGAACACCTGTCATATGTACAGTGTGTTGTACTGCAGCAATTTATAGCACACCCTATAGAAACTTGAAAGTTAGTGATTGATGTACATTCACAGTGCCCATTCCCCAGGCCTCGTCAGGATGTCTCTGTTGTGACCTACGATGTGACACTGGTGTATCGTGCTGTGCTGCTAGTGCATGCTAGTGTAGCTTGAAGTACTGAGAGCTGTCCAAACATACAGGCTGTGTTCAAATTCAGAGACTAACATACTGTCCACTACATACTCAATCAGTACATACTGCATACTGACTACAACATGAATAATTAAGTATGCCGACTGTTCACACTGGATATGTTCAAACATAGGTCTTCGATCACAACTCTCTGACAGCGCTGTGGAGACTAATCACAACATTACAGCCTGAGCTACTGCTGAATGAAAATAGTTTATTACAAATGTAAATCAACATTACCTCTTCCACTCAGTGTAATATTTTCCAGTATTATTGTAAAATAAGATCAGAAGAATCCTTATTGATTTGGGGGAAATTCAAATTGTTGCAGCAGTACAGGGAAATGTAGTAGTAAAGAAATCAAATGAAACATACAATATATACACTATATTAATAAATAGTGTAATCTAGTGATAAAAATGAGAATACAAAATTATGGTACATTTTAACATCACATATGGAGCAGGCAGTATTAGCAGCTACCGTCCGTATATTTTATTGAGAAGCAGAAGTGGAAGCTGCTGAGCTGAGAGGCGACTGCAAGTGCCATGAGGAGGAGGAGGAGGAGGAGGAGGAGGATGGGGCTATCTTAACATTTGTCTACACTGTGTTCCAAATTATTATGCATATACTGTTTTTGTTCTTTTTCTTACTAAATAGTCGATATAATTGGCAGTCAATAGGATTTTTTATTCCTCAACAATTATATCGTAATCT